CTGGAAAACTCAATTTCCCATATGCAGGAGTCCCTCTCCTCCCTAGCTGAAATGGTTTTACAAAACCGCAGGGGACTGGACCGGATTTACCTCCAGCAAGGAGGGTTATGTGTTGCCCTAGGGGAGGAGTGTTGCTTTTATATAGACCATTCTGGAGAAGTAAAGGACTCGATGGCCAAAGTGCGGGAAGGGCTAGCAAAGAGGAAAAAGGCCAGGGAAAATGAATAGGGTTGGTTCGAATCCTGGTTCAGTTCTTCCCCCAGCTGACTCCCTTAGTTTCCACCACATTAGGCCCCATACTTGTGGTCATTCTCCTGCTACCCTTTGGGCCATGCATCTTGAACCGCCTAGTAAGGTTCATCAAAAATCAAATAAATGATGTACAGGCATTTACCCTCAGGCTCCAATACCGACCTGTGCCCCACAACCCTTGAGCTGGTCATGAGGGAGATTGTTATGATTGTCTTGACTCACTAATGCTTGTCCTTGAGTGTTTTGCCAGGTTACAACAGCAGAAGAACCCATGAGACCACTATGACTGCCCCTCCTCTCTATTATAACCCCCCCCTGGAAACAAGACCCCCTCTGCTTGTCCATGCACAGCTAATTTAAATGGGCTGAGACTAGAATCGTTATGGGCTGGCATTATCCATACGGCTGCCCTTAATCATGACGCATTTTTAGCCAAGGACAGGTAAGATTTCCAATGACAAGCACTCCTAAGACAGGACATGCACATAGCCAGGTGCATGATCCAATGATGGGCAAGTCTTGATCAGAGGTGACACAACCTAAGACAGGCAAAAATGCATAAGATTAGAGGAAGGAGATAGCCATCTCTCCTCAGGGAGCCGCCTATGAGGTGGGTAACCCGTGAAATAAAGTCAGTCCGGCCTTAAAAATAAAAAAGAGGGATACATGGGGACCTAAAAGCCCCACCTTGCATAGGTCCGAAAGGAAGTTACTGGGGGTGTGGCCTGGCTTGCTTTGAAAGTCTGAAGAATACTTCTGCACTGCTGAGGAGTGCATGATCAGTGTGTGACCATCCTTAAGATACACCCTCAGGGGGGAGGGGGGAGTTCCAGGTGCCTTTATAAGCTTTGTGACACTTGCAATAAATGAGTCTCTGCCCGACTAAGACTCCTTGTTGCGTCTGAGTGTCCCCAGGTAATGGGGGTGGCGTGAGCTGGCAAACAGCGTGCTTACTCATCCCCAATCCTCACCTTGTCGGGGGTCGCTGGTTCGAACCCCCAGCACTCCTCTGCAAGAGCAACCAGTGCTCTTAACTGCTGAGCCACCTCTCAAGCCACATCTCTCTCCTTCCCCTCCCCCTTTTTTATGTTTTGTTTTGAATCAGGGTCTCACTAGGCCTTGGCTGGCCTAGAGCTCACAGAGATCTGCCTGCTACCATGGACTCTTGAGCCCATTAAGGAATTAAAATTCCTCTTCAGGGACTGGAGAGAGGGCTCAGTGGCTAAGAGCACATATTGCTCTTGCAGATAACCTGAGTTTGGCTCCTAGAACTCACATAACACCAGCCCAGGAGGTCCAGTGCCTCTGGTCTCCACAGGTACCTGCATTCATGTGCACATACCCACACACATACATATATTTAAAAAGAAACATAAATACATAAAATTTAAAAATTAAAAAAAGAGAAAAAATTCTTCAAAGGGAAAAACAGGTAAGTCTGTTTACTCCTCCCTTATAAGCACCTCATTTTCTGTCCTTGATACTGGCCAGCTTTTTGTTTCTGGGTGCCTATACCCAAGATGAAAACCCATGCTTTGTATGGACCCAGGGATGTGCATGAGGTAGTAAACAGAGCATCTACCGGGTCTGTGGACTTGTCCTCATTTTCAGTATTTGGACTTCACGGTGTCTCTTCTTCAAGATGATTATTGGAATCAATTACAACAGAACTGTAATCAGGCCAGAGCTGCCTTCCCCACCTTATACCAGGTTGCCAGATGAGATGTTTCTCGAAGGGGAATGTGGAAAGAGCTTTACAAAAGGGGAAGTTGATGAAAGCCTAAAGATATATGTAAAACATTTTTTCTCCAGTAGTCCTGGTCCCATAATCAGCTAAAACAATTATAGGTATCAAGATGGAGATTCTCAAACATGGGATATAGTTGTTTAAGCCAGATGGCCCCTTATACTGGGAACAAGGAAACCATGCCTATGCAGAGCATCCCAGTAACTGTTGACATCTACGATGGGTCCCTCCCAACTTACACCAAAACATTATTGTCTTTCATCCATCACAATGGTTTGTCACTGAGTGGATCCTGAGGCCAGGCATATGTTGGGCAGTCCCTAATGGCACTAACCTTTGGCTCTGGTTACCCCCAGAATGGGTTGGCAGATACATTCTAAGATTTCTTCGGATGCAGGGGTGACAAAAACTCTAGATCTCTCTGGCAACTTACGTTACAACATCACTGGTCTGATCAGTTAACTTCCACGTTTATCCTGCATCTAAAGATGTCATTTGGTATATTGAAACTTGCCACGGTCTCTGAACCCCTTCATCTTGGGCAGAGGAACGAGAGGCTGTGGCGATGGAGGTCGAGGAGGGGAAAGTGCACTGCCCACCTGTTTCTCCAGCCCTTCTCCCCAAGGACAATCAGACACGACAGGGAGTCACTTCAAGCAGGAAAACTCGTTTATTGGCAAGGCTGATCAATATTTAAGGGCAAAAGTTGCAAGCATTAGCATAGGCGGAAAAGCCGTCATCCAATCAGCTTAGAGGTCACGTATGCCATGCAGGCTCTTCTCATAGTGTAACATATTGTTCACGAGGTGATCACACGTCCTTTACTGGCTAGGCTCTGATCAGTATTACTTCCTCTTTTTGTGGCGCACCAAGCTGGCCAGCTGGCTCCACCTTCACCTCGGCTGCTCGGCGCCATCTTGTTACCGCACCTCCACAGAAACTCTCACTAAATATGTACAAAAAGCTTTAAATGACACAGCCCAGGAAATTAGTTTTTAATTACACTTATTTATTGAGAATATGTGTATGTGTGTGTGTGTGTGTGTGTGTGTGTGTGCACATACCATGGTACACATGCAGGTGAGAGGATGACTTGTGGGAATTCTCTCCTTCTACCATGTGGGGCCCAGGGAGCCAACTCAGGTTCTCAGGCTTGGTGGCAAGTGCCTTCACCTCCTGAACTATCTCACTGGCCCAAATTTCTCTTAATTCTGAAGTTCACATGATGAGAAAAGCAATAATATAAAACTGCATGGCTAGACTGGGTGTGGTGGCACACCTTTAATCCCAGCACTCGGGAGGCAGAGGCAGGTGGATCTCTGTGAGATTGAGGTCAACCTGGTCTACATAGCAAGTTCCAGGCTACCTGGGGCTACAAGGAGACCATGTCTCAAAAAGTCCAAAAAACCTCTACACTTAAGACTCACAGAACATAGTGGAACAAGAGGTAGAGAGAATACTAATACATCTCTCAATTCTCACCAGCGAAGATCCCTCACTCAACAGAGTGCAATGAACACAAAAGGCCACAAATGACCAAAGTGTAGAGAATAAGAGACTGCAGAGCGTGGGAAGGCTCAGGGACCATTATGGAAGAGGGGGCAGGAAGATTGTAAGAGCCAGGGGAAGAGGTGCATGACCATAAGGAGGGAGAGTTGATCTTCTTTAAGGGAGTGACTCTAGATGGGCTGATTAGACCCCATGGATGCACTTGCATTGAAGGATGTCTGGGAACACTAACTTGACTTGCTAGGCCTTAACATGAATGATGGAATGCACAAAATCTGGTGGGGAGATATGGGAAGGTGCAGATGGGGGAGGAGGTATAAAGATGAATAAGATGTTTTGTATGAAATACACAAAAATTCAATAAAAAATATGCAAAAAAACTCCACAAAAACCCCAAACTGCATGGCTTTAGATACTTTCAAGCAGCTCAAGGCAGCACCTGTTCCCTTAAGGAGGTTGAATCCAAAAGATAATTCTGCTAATGTCTCATCTGCTTTACAAAATATATAAAACAGATTCAAACCAAAGAGGTGGGACAGTAGCATAGAAAAATTATCAAGGGAGAAATGCAGAGAATAGGGACACTTTAAATGGGAAGGGCAGGGAGGGAGGATAAAACAGGGAGAAAAAGAGGATATATGCAAAAAGCTTTAAATGACACAGCCCAGGAAATTAGCTTTTAATTACACTTTTTTTGTTGAGAATATGTGTATGTGTGTGTATGTGCACAGATTATTACAGCTAGGCATAAAGAGTAGCTAATATAAACTACCAGAGGGAATTGTATTTGTCCAAAAACCTACTGAAAAATTATACATACACTATCTCTACATGAGCTGGGTGTGGTGGTGCACACCTTTAGTCCCAGGAGTCAGGAGGCAGAGGCAGGCATATCTCTGTGAGTTCAAGGCCAGCTTGGGCTACAGGGAGACCCTGTCTCAAAAAGACCAAAAACAAAACAAAACAAAACAAACCAATATCCCTGCATGAGTCCATGAGTATGACTGAAGACTACATAACAAGAAACAGTGCCAGTCAGGAGAAACCTTCCTTTGAGTTGTTGGCCAAGGTAGTTCAAGAGACTCCCAAAATTACACAGGCTATTACCACAGTCCTTGATTGCCTCCAAGAACCTGATGGTAAGACCCTATTGCTGAAGACAGGACATACCTTGGACTCAGGATTTGGAGCAATGGAGCTGGAAATGACCTGGAAGCCACCTCCCCTGAAGGCTAGCTCTCATAGCTTTGGAGAGCACATCGAAAGCTGGTAAGGGAAAACATCAATCGATGGTCCAACCCTAGCTTAAAGGTCTAAAAACCACATCAATGACCAGCACAGCAAATGACATTGGTGTAGTATGGGCGTGTCCTGCACACCGTCTTGCTGCTCGGGTCCCTGGCTCTCAGCGTTGCTGGGGTGCGCGTGTGTCGTGCACCGCATTGCTGAGGCTCTCTGCGACTACTGGATGCTGGCAACTCTACTGGTCACTGTGCTTCCAGGCGGGTTCTGTTCCAAGCCACCGGGCACTCCCTTGAGGTACCTGATCCACCAGCCGCCAGATCACGTGGGGAGGTGCGGGAACGGCGAAAGCAGAATGTTCACGAGTCGTTGTTTATGAAGGGACAGCCCCCTCCGGAGGGACTGAATCGTAGGCAGTAAGACACAGAATTCAGCTCAGTCAGGTACAGCTCCTTTATTCAGTGACTCAGCTCAGCTCCAGGTTTTAGTGATTCAGCTCCGATTAATTAGGGGAAACCAGGATATTTTATAGTGTGGGGGCAGTAGCAAAAGCCTTAGTTGATAGGTGCTTTGTAGGATGCCCCATTTACATGTGGTGGTGGGCTTCCACCAGGCTGCCAGACATTGCCTGATTATCACACAGGAAAAACCTGGCAGTTTCTTGTGCCAGAGGCCATGTTTTTGGTAGGGCATCTGTGGCGGCCACTTCAAAAGGTGAGTCAGGAAGAAAGTAGGAAGGCACCCAGCTGAGAAAGGGAGTCTCTGCATATGAATGCCAAGCCAACTTGCGGCTATCCGGACATGTAGAGACTGCTACCTTAGACAGCAGGGGTCCCCAACAGTGTAGCACTTTAATCTTGTGGGTAATCAACAGCTACCTAATTGGACGTAAAGCCCACTCAGTGGGAGGAAACTCATGTCTGGTACTGTAATCCTAGCCAAATACACATAGCTGGAGAGGTCATAGATCTTAGAGAAAACCCCAAGGCTCTCATATTCCTGGACTAATGTAATTTTTTACTGTGTGCAAAGTATGGATCCTTAAATTTACAGACAAGTATCCCAGTCACCACCCATCAAATCAGCTTCTTTTTCAACAGACAGATTATTACAGAGTTACACCACTGGTGGCACACAGAGTCTCTGTGAATTGCCCAAGCCTAAGTGTCACATCTAGGATGTAACCTCTATACCTAAGACTCACGGAACAAAGAACAAGGGATGAAGAGAACACTAATGCATCTTTCAATTCTCATCAATGAAGCTCCCTCATTCAACAGATGGCCAGGAACACAAAAGGCCACACATGGCCAAAAAGCAGAGAAGAGTCTGCAGAGTGTGGGTCCTTGGTCAGGACTCCTATAGTGAGGTCCATCTACCCAGGGATCAGGGCCATTAAGAAGAGGGGGGTGTAAAGATTTTAAGAGCCAGGGAGGAGGTGCATGACCATATGGAAATAGTCCTACAGGCTCCTGGGACCCTTCTCATATGAACCTACAGCAATGGTGTCAGCATGCGCAAGAACCATGTGAACTTAAGCAGACAAAAACACCCAGCACAGAATATTGGAAATAAACAGCAGGCCCCAATATTAGTCGAAGAATTATTGGCAGCTGATTACTGCTGGGTAAGGAAGAGATGATCTTCTTAATTGGAGGGACTCTAGATAGGCTGACTAAACTCTGGTGGACATCTCAGGACACTAACTTTACATAATAGGCCTTAACACAAATGACAGAATGTATGAACTCCAGTGGCAGCGGGGGGGCTATGGGAGAGTGCCAAAGGGGAAGAGGGTATAAAGATGATGATTTTGTGTATGAAATACACAAAAATCAACAAACAAAAAAACAAAATCAAAACAGGTTCAATATCACTGATGATTTTGTTCTGAGTCAGAAAGTGCTGCTCAGATGTAAGACTTCAAATCTTGGTCTGCAATACTGTGGTGCCAACCTGGAGCTAAGGGAGACAACCCGCTATTGTTCTAAAATGATGGATACGTTTGTTTTCTCCCCCTATCTAGAAGGTTTTGAGAGGGAATTGACACTGATTCTAACCACTCCAACAGCTATCACAATGCCTGAAAGCAAATCCCACCTTGGCAGACAAAAACAAAATGAGGAGGAACCCCATAGAGGGATGCTTTTGGAAACATTCAAGAAATTCCAATGGATTCTATTTGAAATTCAATGGAAAATATTTGAAATTTTCCCTGTTCTGACTTTTTTCTAGTTCTCTGTCTGGAACTTGCAGTGCTAATTACTCTTGCCTTTACTTCTCCTTCACATCTCCTTTTAACCAGTCAAGGACTTTCTTTTCGCCCTACAGATAAGAATTACGTAATTTGGGAGTCTTTTAGATAGACCTACTGAAGGGGTACTCCAATTGCCTCACCCCCTGCATTCCTGTTCAGCACAGAAGAAGCCAGAGTGGTCTGTGACCTGATTCCCTACCCGAAAGTTGGGTAACCTTTTCAGATGATGGTGTGATAAGAATAGGAGGCAGGAATTGGCTAGAATGTTAGTGTAAAAAGACCCCAAAGTAGCCAGATTCTTGGCTAAAAGTCAAAATGTCCTTGGGCCTCTTAGCTACATTCTCCGTTCCAAAGGCCAAAAATATTGAAAGTATTTGGGAGCTCTTATCTAATCCTTAAAAGATTTTAGGGTTACCTCTTCAGAAGGGGGAGTTTTGTTTGTTTGTTTTTTTTTTGTCTTTTTGAGACAGGGTCTCCCTGTAGCCCCAGCTGTCGTGGAACTCACTATGTAGACCAGGCTGGCCTTGAACTCACAGAGATCCGCCTACCTCTGCCTCCCCAGTGCTGGGGTTAAAGGTGTGAGCCACCACGCCCAGCACAGAGGGGAAAATGTTAAAGTACCAAAAAGCTCCATTAAAAAAAAAAAGAAGAGGGGCTGGAGAGATACTTCAGTGGTTAAGAACACTGGTTGTTCTTGCAGAAGACCCAGGCTCGAATTCCAGCACCCACATGGCAGCTAACAACTGTCCGTAACTCCAGTCCTGGAGGATCTGACAGCCTCTTCTGACCTCCGCCGGCATTGCATGACATGGGTGCACTTACTTACATGCAGGCAACATACTCAAACACATAAAATAAAAATAATAAATAAAATTTAAAAAAGAAGAAAGAGTACATGAAGTTATCAAAAAAAAAGTGATGGGGAGATATGGGAGGAGTTGGAGGGGCAGGAGTGGGCATGGATTTGATCAAAACACCTTATCTGTTTATATGCCTGTATGAAATTCTCAATAAATTATTTAAAAATCAATAAATAAATAGATGTAAAAAAAAAAAAACAACAAAAAACCCAAAACAAAACAGATTCAAACCATGTCAGACTAGCACCAGGCCATTTAGTAAAGAACTTTGGAAATATATCTCTGGATCTTCGTGGTGGAAAGGGGTTACGTCTATTACAGTGTTAGTGGTGATTCTATTGTTGCGGTTATTATTGTGTTTGAGACAGGGTCTCCCTGCAGCCCCAGCTGGCCTGGAATACTCTATGTAGACCAGGCTGGCCTTGAACTCACAGAGCTCCGCCTGCCTCTGCTTCGCCACCACGCCCCGCACAATCTTAGTAGTGGCTCTACTAATCTTTGGATCTTGTGTACTGAACTGCTGTCTTAATTTTATGTTTTCTTATTTACAATCAAGCCACACTCAGATGGTCCTGTGACAATCTAAGTCCATCTATCTAGATCCCTTAACTGCCCCCCAAGGCTTGAGAGTCAACAAGAGAGGGACTCTAAATCCCTCTACACCCCAATTTGCTTGACGCCCTTCTCTCCCCAACTCTCACCTTTATTCCTTCTCCCTCATGTCTCTTCCTTTCTTCACCTCCTCTGGCTGCTAGGCACATGGAGCTACTGATGCATTTGAGGTCCTTTAGATAGGTCCACCGGAAGGGTACCCTAGCTGCCACCCACAGTGTGCCCAGTCAGCAATAAGCAGCTATATCAGTCATCATCCCAATTCTCCAATGGCAATTAGGGTTAGCTCTTCAGAGGGGAGACAATGAGAGCAGGAGAAAGAAAACAGGTAGTTTGGGGACAGCGGCTTCGTTCTCTTTTGGCAAGAGGCCAGACACACCAGACCAGCATTGGTTCCTGATCTGGTTTCTTATCTTCTCCTTTTACGTAGCAGTGTTAATGAGTACAGTGGCCTGCAAACTATGTGCAGGGTATGACTGAAACTCTCACTCAGACACTGGGACGGAGAGGCCCATGAACACCTCTTGGGTGGGACAACTGGACTAACCAGCTTGCCCCCCCACCCCCATGCCTCAACCCAATAAAGCCTTATGAAGGCTTAGATAGGGATTCTGGATAGCAGTGAATTGTTGGGACCTGCTCCTGCTATATTGGAGCTCTGCTTGGTTCCTGGCTCCTAAGCTCTCCCCTATAGTAAACTCCTTTCTAAAACTCACCCTTCTGTTGTCTGTGAGATTCATTCTTTGAGTTTTTGGGACAAGAGACTCAGAAGCCACTGTCCTGGGTGGCTTTGGTGGCTCTTGATTGCTGGGGATCCCAGCTCACCTGAGACAAGAAAGCCTCTGTAATTCACTCTCAGCTTCCCCCCTATGTCACTATTATCTTACTGAGCCAAAGATGCCAAATTTTACTACCATAGTAGAGGCTGACTTGATACAATGAAGCTTCTATGTAGATCTTCTATATGATGATGCTCATGATGTTGTACAGGACTATTCTCCAAGCCAAACTGCCACCATCTTTATCAGATCAGCTGTACCCACTTGCAAAAGATTAGCATCATCTGGGTTTGTGGACTACTGACATTTCCTCAGAGAAGGAGGGGCTGTGCTAGGCCATTGGATCCCTGTGTCCAGCCACTCCTCCCAGCTAGTTCTATGCAATTCCATCCTAATTGTACATGGCCTCAGGGTCTCTGGAAGTCCTAGAGAATGTAGACAGAAGAGCTCCTGCCCAATACCCCTCACCCAGGCTCTGTAAGTAACCCTAATAAACTCATTGGTTCCCCAGGTGGACTGTGGTAGAATTAACCTTTGAGTTGTCACTGATTGTAGAAGGAAGAGAAAGGCATTGCCTGGTCTGTGCAGCCCCTCCAACCCAGGACAAAAATTCTTGTGATGCAGGGTCTCTCTGTGTAGTTCTGGCTGACCTGGAACTCCTTATGTGGACCAGAGTGGCCTTGAATTCACAGAGATCTGCTTCTGCCCCCAGAGTACTGGGATTAAAGATGTGTACCACCATGCCTATCATTGACTCTTTACATATGCCTTCTAAGACGCAAAGCTTAGGAAAACACCAAGACGGTGTCCTCCAAATTAGAATTG